TTGGACATTTAGAACGTCAGCTGGTTTCAGTATGTTGCCAAGAGAGATTCTGTTTGTCCTTGAACAAACTTAATCTTGCTTCCCTTCGTCTTATCTCCTTCAAACCAAGACGTGAACGACATTTTTAAAATATAAAAGTTTCTTTTTACATTTATATGTTTCTATCTATGTAGGTATAAACAAATATAAAATATTAAACATAGCGAATATTAAAATTATTTAGCATTTTTTATGATTTTTTTCAATTTTTATTTAAATCTATATTTTTTTTTAATTTTGATATTATAAGAAATAGCAATTGGAAATATTATAAAAAATAATATTATAAAAAAAATCTTTTCAAATATATGAAGTAATTTTTTGAAGAAGTTTATTGGAACTTTTCTTAACAATATTATAACATATAACAAGAAAAAATAAAAAATATCGGATTCCAAATGAATAATTGAAAAAAATTAATTTAAAAAAAAAATTAATTGTGTAATGAATTACTATTTAATCAAATTCAAACTCAAGATTTGCGAAGTGATTAATTATTCTAAATTAATTTTTTTTATTTATTTATTTTTTTTTTACAAAATCATTAAATATAAATATTTTTTAAAAATTATCCGATTAATTTCTATTTTTAAAAGAAATTCTTCTCTTAAAATAAAAAAAAAAATTAAACAATCAAAATTGAAAAAGTCATTAAATTGTGAAGTTACCATTATTGAAAATATCTATATTTATATTAAAATTTAAATAATTTTTTTATTCGAAGAAAGCAAAAGGCAGGAAAAAAATAATGAAATATAAAAGACACGTTTAGTGTGTTCATAAAGTAATCGATCGATTCGATGAGTAATCACTCTCGCTATCTTTGGTACGTAATAGCAAGTCAGTTCCATGAAAATGCAATGAATATCTGCTTTTTCAAAATATAGATTTCAAAATTATCATTGCGATTAACTTTGATTAACTTGATTTGATTAACTTTATTTTGTTTATTTTTTGATTGATCATGTTTTTCCAATTTCATGGATAAGCCAAAATTGTCTTATCGTTTAAATAGATGTTAGATAATAGTAGAGATACTTAACCATGGCAATGAATAAGAATTCTAGACACGACCCTGACCTCGATTGAAAGTAACGTATTTGTTTCTCGTACTTTTTTTACTTTTTTCTTTATTTCTTTATTATTTATGCTATTTATTATCAATTTTGAATAACGATTATTACAATCTCTTTATAATAACTGATAATGGAAAAAATGTGTAGAAAAAAATTAGAAATATTTATAAATAAAAACAAACCAAATATTCATTTATACATTTACATTTACATGTATGTATATATTTCCTCAATTTGTTTGATATAATTTTTTTTTTTTTTGGATATTTAAAACTGTTAGTGTAAAAAAGATGTGTAAAATTTCTTTAAGATGAATATAATAAATTTTATGAATGAATAGAAATAAAATGAACTTGCAACAGAAAAAGACATACGTTCGTGTTTTTCAAGAATTTCTAATCATCGCATCTTTTACAAAGTTAAACTGTTCGCAAAGAGCTCGTTCTGTCATCCGAAGCCAGCCGTTGAAACAAGATATGGAGAGAGGTTATTATTATCCATCCAGAAATAGAGTCGCGAACGTATAGACTAGTGGTTGTTACTGGTGGCCGAATAAACTCTCGATGGAAAGGAAATAAAGGATTTTGATATATTAACTTAATATGTTGACTGTCTATTCATGGATATCCAGCCGAAAAATTTAGATCTCTTTATTTTATATTTCGGAAAATATTCAATATTTTGATAGTTTTGATAGTAATAACTATAGTCTTTCTTCAATTCAATTATTTTGTATATTTTAAATCAAAAATTAATATATAAAAAATAGTATATAGTATATATTCATTATAAATTAATTCATTAATCAAAGTGTAAACGTTGTATTAGTTCAAAGGCTAGAGAAGTCTGAAGCTTTATAATCATTTGCACGTATATAAATTTATTCCAGATGTACACCTGTTTGCACTATTTATTATGTTTCGATTTATCAATTTGTTTTTATTGATTCACAAAGCAGTATAATTTTATATTCAACTCTCTTTTTGCCTATGAATGTATTTATCTCTATCTCTTGCCATTATCTCTTTTGTGTCGTCATCTCTTCTAGTTCCGTTCATTCAATAGTTTTATTTTTTCAAATATTTTTAAAATATTTCATTTTTTATTATGGAAAAAAAATATTTTTATGCGTATAAAAATTTTATGAAACAATCATTGAATCAATGTGTTATAGTAGAAATGTATGTATATATATTTGCGACAGAAATTTAGTTATTCGAATATTTTCTTTTCGATATTTATATTCTTCTTTGTAACCTAACTTTATCTAATCGTTGAAGGCACAATTTTGGTCATAAACGCTTTTCATTAGGATCATATCGTGTCCTCGTTGTCTTGTGTCATGTTCATACTTGGCATGTGGCAGCCATTTTATTTGGTTAATTTTTCCAAGGGAAACACGCGCCTATTTGGAGATTAACCTCCAAACAAATCAGGTAGTCGTATCTTTTTATACTACATATACGCGTTTCTTATGTTTTTCATCGCATTTAGTTTTCACTAGCTTTTCATAGTGTTCTCTATGATTTCTCATTATATATCACATACAGAAATCAGAAACAACGAACAAAAGCACAGAATTTATTTTTCAATCTTCTTAAGATGAAACTTGTATTGATTTGTTCTAGGAAGTGGAAGCAAAGATGGAAAAGGTGGGAAAGATAATGCATCACCGTGTGGTCCTTATGCAGGTAAGTTTACTTTTTTTCATTTAAAAAAATGTGTTCGAGAAATGAATCGCAATTCGATATAATTTCTCATCATTTTACAAATTCACGCAAACGATTCAGAAAGCAAATCATGTTGTAAGTTAAATTCAAAAAATATCAATCTTCGATTTCTTTTACGTAATATGATATAATAATATGAAATCTCTATAATTTAAAGATTATAGATCTTGATATTGATTTGAATTACATATCAAATAATTATTTTAAGGTTTAAATTATTATTAAATATTAAAAAAATATATAATATTAAACCGAGTTATGATCATAAAGATATGGTACGATACTATTCGATCAATGCTGTACCGATGCTTAATCTTTGTAAGTATGTACTTATATTAAGTTTTTATTTTATTGCTGATAGTAAGGCACACAC